TTATTTTGCAGCAAACTTTAATTTTCTTTATTTGAAGATCTGCTTGGAAATGTAAGATGATTCAGCTTTTTCATGAGTACATTTAAGGTAAATTATTTCTGCTGTGAAGTCTACAGTGCCTAGAGCTTTCATTATCAGCTAGTTGACACTGTGACAATGTTGTGGTGGACTCACGGTTTCTTTGATTAGAAAAAAAAAGTAAGTCCACAAATCAAATTCAAATATTATGTAAAGCCATCTTACATACATGCAATGAATGGAACAACAAATACATTGGAAAAAGCCATGTTCACTTAAAAAAAAAAGTACCATGGAAATACCATAGAATATGAATAATGTAATCATTCAGTATCATGATAAAACTGATACCATTACTCTACCATGTATGTAGCCTGGTTCAACCAGACTCTAGTACATTTCATTTGTACATAGAGTCTGGCCTCTCTCCATTGAGAAACGTTTACTTCCTTGTAGGCGGGTTCACTGTTAAAGTTCAAAACTATTGGATCTGCCCAGAGTCACTCACGATACAAAAAACAAAAAACTCTGAACGATCAGAGGTTTATGTTTACAATAGGATTTCAGTCAACAAGAGCTGCAGGTTTTGTTAATCTAGGAACAATTATTAATTTGAAATGTATATTTGACACGAAGGACAGTGATGTATTCATTCAACGGTCGAAGCTGTGTCTTTAATCATTACAAATACGCAGCTGTGGTCATTTCTGATCTGACGCAAATGCTGAATGATCTGTATCTATCTGCAGATGTGTAATAAACAACAATTTTTCATATTACGTCTTATTGTTTCTTAATTACCTTAATTATGGTCTTCAAAGTACGTGTTTATAAATTTTTATGGCATTTAGTTTTTTTATTATTAAAACAAATTAACCATTGACATCTAAAACTGAAAATCAAATTATGGTCTTCAAAGTATGGGTTTTCACATTTTTATTTATGATAATTATTTTTTTTATGATTTACAACATGTAAAACTGACACACCAACCTCCTGCACGTGTACACAACAAAGGGGCTCAAAATGTTCTATTCATCACAAGAATCACTAAATTTACTGTTGGGAATATGAGCTAACATTACTGACATGACTCCTGAGTGCATCTTCAAGAACTCGGGGCTTCCGAACACCAGGCTAAAGCATCCATCCAAAATGTCACGGTCTCCGTTGACGCTGAGCTGCCCAGCACAAATTTCCAACCTTTCTGCCTCCTTCACGTGGTCCTCCGTTGTGCAACAAGAGGTGAGACGATAACAATCCGGCTTTAAATTCTGTATATTGAGCAGTTTTTTTTTTGTTTTTTTTTTCAGTCTTTCCCTGCTGCTGACGCGCTACATCAACGTCATCGTTCTCAGTTACTCCCTCTAATCGCTGATTGGTCCTACAAAAAAATGATTTCTGGAAACCTAAGGATATACAGCAGTCCCAGACGTAGTACTGAAGGAAAATGAAATTGAGCGGAAGTGCGTAGGAGGGCGCAGCCAGGCTACCAGCCAGGTAATAAATGAGGGAAAAACTAATGTACTGTAATCTTAATTAAATTAATTTACTCATTAAATTCACAGAGCCTCGGGATATCTAATAAATGTGTCTTTCCTGTGAGAATATTAAAACACACAATCATCAATGGCTCTGAGGAATGAATGACACTAGGGAGGGGAAAGAGGGTGGCATAAAACGCTCGTCAGCCCATTTACAGGTGACGGCTAAATACACGCTAATAACTACCCAAAAGTGACACAACATGCACCGCCCTACGACAAAGGCTCTGCATTTTTACTCTTACAGAAGAAAAAAATTAGAAAAGTGGGAGGAATACATTACTTGTGTTATGTTTGGATAAAAACAGCTAGAAACAAATCAGACATACCATACAATCCAAATTCTACTTTTTGGTGATAAAAATGTACTTGAGTAGACTAGTAGATTTTAAAAACGAATCAGTCCTAATATACCAAATCTAATTGAGTGAGACAGGCATTCTTCAGAAATGATGGTGTAGGGTTTATGATTGTGGAGGAAAAGAGGCTCCTAAACATGTTTTAGTCTTGCTTATGTGTAGGGGTGTAAGAAAAAAAAAAAAAAAAAAGATACACTTGAGTATCGCGATATTTTATTTTGCAATACTGTATCGACTTTCAGAAACGAAATATCGATTTTTTTTTATGCATTGACGCACCACTAGCCTAACGTTTTGGTAGAAACAACATAGCTATGGCTGAACCCCGTGTAAAGACCGGCTCCTGCTCTATTCCGTTTGGAAGTGTGGAATCATTTTGGTTTCCAGAGTAAAGAGGGCACTAACGATAGACAGGAACCATGCAGTTGTGAACTGTGTCTTTACAAGTTCGGCACGTGAGCAGTGGGGTATTTTTTCATCGTGCACGTTTATCAATGAGTGCGTTCATTCACACCGCGAGCAGTAGCCGCGCATAAGCATCAAGCAGGACCGTCGCGTGAGCAACAGTGAAACAGAGGTTTTGCCGGAGAGTCTAATAAGGGCGTCGCACACCAGATGAGAAGCTCAGCGCCACATCTTTAAAATTCGAACACATTATTCTCTATGAGTGTACACACACCAGCGGCGCCATTTGGCTTGACTGTCCATTGCGCCCAGCAACGGCTCAGGACCATGTTCAAAATCCTGCTGCGCCACAGAGCGCCATTTACATAGTTTTATATAAAATTTAAATTATTTTTGTCTCAAATCGTTGCTAATGTATGCTGCTTGAATGACAATTGCTGATGTTATTGGATTTTTAAGGTGAGATTCTCAATTCATTCAGTTAACGGATGCTCTGAGGTAAAGTTTTCAGACTGCAGACTCAGCAACGATTGTATTTAATTGTACAGTACAATCATAACATAGAACAGACATTATCTTCATTTCATGTCATTAAACATGGCAATATTGCTGGCCAAACACTGATGAGAAAGTGCACGTCTTGTGTGCGATACCTAGTTTTCCTATGGCGCTGCGCTTGTCCAGTGTGCGACCCCCTAAAGTTTATGACCAACTTCTAAAAACACATTTAATCTAAGTTTTTGTAATGAACCTGTGAACCACAATCCCAAACTGGTAGTTTGATTTTCTGAGTACTGAATTGTTTCAGTAAACTTGTTTGACTTTAATTCACATCGTTTTTTTTTTTTTTTTTTTTTTAATATTACTTTTTATAAAATTAAAGTCCTACTTAAAAAAAAAAAATCCCAATATATCGCCTTATGGATAGTATCGGAATATATTGCAATATATTGAATCGTGATACGCATCATATCGCCAGATTCTTGCCAATACACAGCCCTACTTAAGTGTGGAAGCACAATAGGGTGTGATTGTCACAGATTAGGGCGTCAATGTTTCTGTTCAGATTCGACAGCATTCTGTTAATGATTTTCTGTTTAAAGGACAGATTCCCAATGAAAGACAAATGAAACTCACCCTTGGTGTTTAAGAGGGCCTGACTTTTAAAATACTGTCATGTTTAAAGATTTGAGCACTTGATGCTTTCAGTTAGAGGGCTCTGCAATAAATCTGGTTAATATAGGAGGCTTTCAGAGAATCTCTCAAATCCAGCAAATCAAAATGTCACAATCACAACCAAGAGAGATTTTTGTTGTTGATAACATCAGGAAATTACTTAATTTGGTCACCTGGATATTTTAAAGAGAAAGGGAAGTATGTTTAAAGCAATAGTTCCACTGTGATCTCATGAGAATGTGTATATTTTTAGTTCTACCACATGAACATTTATGTATGTTTCCATACACACAGAAATGAATAATCCTGACATATTGACAGAGTGCTCTGCGACTCTAACACAATGTCATATGAAAGACTTTTGGTAGCACATTTTCGCAATAAATAAATTACTGTGACTTGTCTGTCCATTATATTTTTTCTTCGTGGGTTTAGGGATAGGAATATTATTTGCAGCTATATTGTTACTAAAATTGTCCTTTTCCCACACGTCTCTGTCCATTACATTTTATTATTTATATATTATGTATAAAATTGGTATGTTTCAGTTTGGGAGTAGATTTAAGGGACTTTACATGTATCTATATTAAAAGGGCAATTATACAGATATCTGAAATATGAAAGATTTGTAATTATTTAATGTTTTGTAGCTGTAAAAACTAATAATCCTACATTTAAATGTTGCCAATATGTCCATATTTTACGTTTCAGCATCTATCTAAACTTACAAAAAGTACATTTAGTGTCTTTGAGAGTTACGCATCAATACCTACGTATTAACAATGAGACCAGAGGTGCATTTCCCGTACAACAATCTAACTTGTCGTTGTAATGTCGTAGAATAAATCAACTTGCAGGTTGAGAGCTGTCGTTCTAACCACACAACTTTGGAGAATGTTCATTGGTTTCGGAAACACAGAATAACAACAGAACTTGCGAACATAGTTGGCCAATGATGCTTTTAAGAAATGCACCTCAGGCTAATAGTTCATCCCCAAAATGGAAATTCTGTCAGCATTTACTCACCCACATGTTGTTCCAAACCTGTGTGATTGTAATCTTTTGAAGCCACAAAAGAACTTTCAGCAACTTTTAGCTCTGTTCCCTTACCGATTATGTGGGGTGTGTGTTTCTCGAAAGCATCATTAGCCAACTTTGGTCAAGTTCCATCGTTATCAGCATAATTCAACGTGTCAAAACCATAGTTCCACTGAACATTCGCAAACAGCATCGCAAAGTTGTGTGGTTGGAATGACAGATCTCGACCTGTGGTTAGAAGCATAGTTTGCATGAAATATGGACTTAACAAATCGTTCTCGAGCAAAATAACCAAGCAGGCATTGAGTACAATTTATATTTTTTATTAAGAATGCATACAAATGTTGTTTACATCTTTTAAAGCAGAACTAAGTAACTTTTTTTACCTTAACTGAACAGCTTTGGAGTCATTGTAATGTTAATATTACTGATTTTGATTACTCTACCAAAATGAGGCTCGCCGGCCTCAGTGTTAGGAAGTATCGTGAGATTTCAGGTCTCGCGAGGTAACGAATTGCTTTACGGCACTATACGCGCACACGCATGCGTACACGTCCCCATCCATCCAGGAGCCGGCTAGCTATAAGAAAAAGGTAACGCTAGATATTGAATTCTTCACGTTTTCGTGATGGCTGATGTAAAAGAAGAAGAAGAAAGCTCGGAAGTGTTTATCAGAGGAACAAAGAAAGAGAAAACGGACCGGCTTTTTCAGAATAGAGAGAACTGAAAGAAAGCGAAGCCTGCAAAACCGATGCTGACCTGGCCTTCTTGCTGTTGCACTTGTAAGTATCTTTATAATAAACTGTGTTTAATGTTTGTATTTCTTGTAATTGTGACCTCGGGAGTCGGGATGTTTGCTATTGTCTGTTTTTTTTTTTTTATTATTATGCTCGCTGTCTGTTACCGGCTTACTAGTACGTTAGATGTTAGCATTTTCATTAGCAAACAAACTTGTTTTCTGTAAGTAAGTGTTTTGTCCGTTCCTCTAGCAGGGTTTATTTGTGTTTCTCAGATCGCCTATAAATCGATATGAAATTCTACAAATTATGCATTAGTTTAGCTTGTCGTCAGCCTCAGAATTAGTAACGTTATACTGTGCTGCTGACTTGATATATAATGCATAAACCGACACGAGAGCAGCTAGCTAATAATGCAACTTTTTTATATTTATTTACCCACATTTACACAAACAGAACTATAAGTAAACGAGAAATTGCATTGCAACTTCACACATGCAACTCCATCTGTGCTAGTTTGACCTTGTGTATAAATGATATGTTGATAAAAACATTGATACATTTTCTTTTTCCTTTTTAGCTACAAGCGTTGGCAAGTGTTATCAACTCCGAGGCACCCCAGACCACCAGTACCACCGGTCTCAAGCTTCAATAATAAAATAAACAATCTTGTAATAAACAAATTAAACGTGTTTGACTTTCTTTGGTCAATCGTTACGATAGACAACTCGGATCACCAGAAAAATGATATAAGAATGTAACGTAACATGTATTTTGATAATGCATAATCAAAGTAGCTATAGCTGTAGGCTAAACTAAAAATAAATAAATAGCGGAAATATTTCTTATAGTATTATTGATTTTTAACCATAATGTTACTGATAACGTTGGTAACACAATAAAAATATACACTATCTCAACATTTGAATAATATTGTTCTGAGAATCATACATACCTCAGTGGACATGGCTCGGGCGTCAGTTTTGTTTGAAATGTGCTGGGGACAGAGACGCATTCGGAAGGGCATTTTCAAAAGTGCTGGGTAACGCATTCATTCTTTTTTCTCTTTCGAGTAGGTAATGTTTTGAAAGACGATGTCCTGTAGCTTCCTGATGCACATAAATAAAAATGAGCACAATGTCCGAGTATAGTGGGTATATAGAAAATATTCGCCCTTGATATGTACAGTGATGGTCCGTCCAGAGGTAGAATTCCGCACTCGAATAGTTTTTATTTCCCCCTCATCAAAACCAATAATGTTTATCAGTGGTTGAATTGATATAATGTTTATCAGTGGTTGAATTGATATAATGTTTATCAGTGGTTTTATATGTTTTGATGAGTGGGGAAAAATATACGAGAGAGGAATTAGAAACCATGAGAAAAATGGACACGTTTGTGTGCATTTTGATTTGTGATTTCACCGGAAAGAATCTCCGCAACGGATTGAAGCGCGTTTCTGAGAGAAGCCAACACATTTCAGTGCTAGATCGCCTGTTATTTAACAAACAAATGAAACGAATGCTGTTAACTGGAGATGTTTTATTTGCATTGGTACATCTGTGCCGCGAGATGTTTCAAAAATGGTGGGGACAAAATCCGTTTGTTCGCCGGCTTCTCTGAAAACAAATGCACATGGCCTGCCTGAACGAGATGGGAGGGGGAGTTGACAACGAGTTTACGACAGTTTTCTCATATATATATATACTCCGAAACTGTAGGGGGAGCTCGAGAGAGAAACCTGCGAGAAAACAGCAAAGAAGTTTCCAGTCTTACTGAGCGCTGCTTTAACTTGGAAAGAAATTTAAAGCATCGTTTTTTGAAGAGTGTGTGTGCTTATGTGCTCTAGAAAGTAAAAATGATTAAATCTGGAAATAAAATTAAAATTAGAATTAGTCCTCAGATAACATGTCTGTAATTTATAACAAAACATCTAGCATTAATTCGATTTCAAACGGAATCATTAAAAGAAGTTTAGTCCTCTACCTGCGTGATATCATAAACTGCGTGATAAAAGAAACAGTCTTGACTAGCTGGGATTGTTGATTTCTTCAACAATGCATCCTACTATGGAAGTTAATCAGCGAGTTACATCATAGTATGGGAAACACATCACTGGTCCTTAAAACAGCTTAGCAAATGAGTTGAACTTGGTTAACGGTCAGTTCGTATGCATATGAATCATTCAGACCAATATAGAGCCCATGCAATGGAGCCTCAATTGTAGTTAAGATTATGATAGTATGTTTCACCACAATAATGCCTTGCAATGCTGTCTCTGGTTACAAAGCACATGACACCATCCCTCGTCTATGTCCTTGCACCAGAGTAAGCCTGATCTTCAACCTCCTGCACAGCATCATCACCTCCAGATGCTGGAGATTTTAGGGATTCCTGCTGTCAGGCCAATCACTATTACATCCTGTGGCTTAATAATAAACTCTGAGACTCTAGCCATGATCCCAGTTAATCCCCCCACCCCCTGCTGTTAAACTACACTTTAAATGACTTTGTGTTACACATCGTTGCACTTGCTAAGCACGTCAGTGTGCGCAATGAAATTTTTCAAAGCAGCTTCAATTATTCTGCATAGCGCTCCTATTCCTGCATGGCGCATGCAGCTGTATTCTTGTGTATTGTGCGTTTCATTGAATTATTCATTCAAACAACTCCTTCAAAAATGCCAATTTATTCTAGAACAAAATAAATGAAAGATTGAATCCTTCTCTTTTCTGATTAATTTATCAAGGAACCACAAGAATATGATGTGTATTCTGAACTATTTTCATGGCTGAGAAAAACAGATAAAGTAACTGGCAATGTTGTGTCTAAAAAGTAAGTTGTTTGCTATTACTTTTTGTAAATTGAACTGTGGTTATACAGTCATTGCTACACACTCACACACAACATGCTGTTTTAATGAATTTAGCTGTGATTACAGTGGGAGCCCAGTGGACGTTTTCGGAAAGACTGGTATATCAAACGGATAAAAGATTGTAGCAGGTTTGGTTTTATATATAGGCTACTAACGATTATCAGGTACACAAATGATTATATCCCTTCAATATCTTAAAATAGTCTGGATAAATGACAATATATTAGGTACATAATATCACTGATAACCACCACCAAATCAACAGAACAAATCACGCAGCAGGACAGGGCCATATATCAGATAAACATTCATACATGAAAAACCCCATTCCATCTATTTGAAGAGGAAATCCACTCCTTCATTGTGGCAAATTATATATGGATCTATCATTTAACCCTTTGATGCACAACATGGGTCTAAATAGACCCGACTCAGTTTTCATTTTCTATATCTTTGCAAGAAATTAATTTCATCATTCAGTATTCCAGGTATTCCTCAATTAACTTGTTTTTGATCATCACAAATCCTTATTTTTATTTTTCCTTTCTTACTTTTTGAATAAAAATAGTTTTTGTATAGCAACCCCTCTAATGCGCAACATGGGTCTAAAAAGACCCGTATTCATTTCCTATGGTATTTCAGTGATGGCTGAGTGTTTTCTTTGCTGAATCTTTAAAATATATGTATTTTATCATTTGTTATTCCAGGTATTCATTAAATATCTTGTTTTTGATTTCCACAAATCATTGGGTTTATGTTTCCTTTCTTACTTTATAAACAAACAGTTTTTGTATTTCTACATCGATTTTACATACATGGGTCTAAAAAGACCCGTATTCATTTCCTATGGTATTTCAGTGATGGCTGAGTGTTTCTTTGCTGAATCTTTAAAATATATGTTTTTTTTTATCATTTCTTATTCCAGGTATTCATTAAATATCTTGTTTTTGATTTACACAACTCATTATGTTTATGTTTCCTTTCTTACTTTATAAACAAACACAGTTTTTGTATTTCTACATCAATTTTACATACATGGGTCTAAAATTACCCATATTCATTTGCTATGTTATTTCAGTGATGTCTGAGTGTTTCTTTGCTGAATCTTTAATTTAAAATATGTTTTTTAATCATTTCTTATTCCAGGTATTCATTAAATATCTTGTTTTTAATTTCCACAAATCATTATGTTAGGTTTTTTATTTATTTATTTCTACATCAATTTTACATACATGGGTCAAAAATTATTATTAATCTTATTTTATTTTAACCACAGACATTTTTTTATATATTGTAAAAGATTACAACATAATATCTCAATATTAGGCTATGGTTACCTTGACCTTGTAAACCTAGTGAGAAATTACTTGTGAGGAGAAACATGTCCAATACTATTAGCTAGCTGTTGACATATTCTAGCTAGCTAATGTTAACTATACACTAAAAAAAAGATTGTTTTTTAAAGCTTATTTACATTTAGTAGGCCTAACAGTTCATAATCATTCATATGCTGAAATGATTCTTATACTGAAATCATTCTATGATTGAAATGATGCCCAGCTCTGCTAAAGACAGACAATTCAGCAGCTGGTGTCCCCAGAGCACCAGGCCTGTGTGCAAGGAGCACAAACATGTAGTTGTCATTTGTGAGGCATGTAAGCACTAAGATGGCAATTTGAGATGCCGCTGTACCAGTGTGATTTTATTTTTTCTGTTTTCTTTTCTTTGATCACATTCACCACAATTCAATACAGTTACACTACACCACAGTTCAATTTCAGTGTTATCAGTTATCAGTTATCTGTGACATGTGAATGCTATGCGAGACAAAGTGGCAAATAAACATTTCAAGTGTTAAATGTGTTGTCTAAATTACTTCTAAGATGATTAATTTAACAGAAAGTTGTCTTTATTCTTTTGTTTTATTATGCTTGATAAGTACATTTGATATAGTAACACAAAACCTAAAAAAAAAAGAAAAAAAAATATTTTTGGTAATTGAAAAAAATATTTTTTAAATATTTATAAATCATGAAATTTATAGATAATGGAATATTAAATGCTTAAATAAATTGATCTCAAAAGATAAAAAGAAAAGAAAAGTCCAGCCATGCATTAAATACCATAGGAAATGAATACGGGTCTTTTTAGACCCATGTATGTAAAATTGATGTAGAAATACAAAAACTGTGTTTGTTTATAAAGTAAGAAAGGAAACATAAACCCAATGATTTGTGGAAATCAAAAACAAGATATTTAATGAAAACCTGGAATAACAAATGATAAAATACATATATTTTAAAGATTCAGCAAAGAAAACACTCAGCCATCACTGAAATACCATAGGAAATGAATACGGGTCTTTTTAGACCCATGTTGCGCATTAGAAGGGGTATCCATAGCTTGCGCATCAAAGGGTTAAGTATAAATTGTTTTGAGATCATTGATTTATCTGCAACCTGGATATCATCAGTCTTTAGCCTCACTTTGAAAGTTAAATCACAAGCACTTTTGATGACGCATTAAGGTGATTCTGAAAGCTGATCGGCTAGCTACATCTGGTAATGATTTGTTATATACTGTATGCAGAAGGAGGCAAATATCGTCGTGCTTTTTTCCCCCGACCGCATTTTAGATGGAAGCAGACAAGGTAGTGTCATTTAATCTCTCATTTGAGTATTTTTCATCAAAGATATAGAGTTTGGAATCCAGCGGTCAAAATGGCTGCTTGTTGCAGCTAAAATGGCTTGTGGTCATTTAAATTATTAAAACAAATAAATGTAAATTTATTTTTATCCCAGCTAAATG